CAATTTAGGAAAAGAAAAAAGTTATCATTCAATGGTTTTATTAGTAAGTGTTTGAGAAATGATCAATTGGCACTCTCCATCCATTCTGACTTTGTTCTGCTGTACCTTCCTACACTTGAAAAGCTGGAAAGAAGAAAGGAATACTTTCCCCAGACTCCTTTGTGGGTCAGGTCCTGGATATGAATTAGGTTCTATTGAACAGATGTACTTTTGTGAAATTTGGAATAGTGAAATGAGATGAAGTGCATTTGGGGTTTTTGTTTTTGTTTATTTTTGCCTTTTCTACTGTCAGATGTATTAATGGAGCATTTTTTTCCGCAGTAGAATTTCGGCCTCCAATCAGCAGGTACAAAGATGCTGACAGGCAGTTGCATTGAGAATAGCAGTTGGATTCCACTTTTCTGGGTCCAGTCATTAGTTTAGGGGGAATAAACATGTATTTTTTATGTTAATCCCTGATATCTGGGTTGTAGCTGCACGGATATGCTCCTGAATTCATAGTTCCAATGGCGACCTTCTGATTCCCCACCTTCCTGATGACATAAGAGGAGGTAGAAGTACTCCATGTTGGTCTCATTATTCTTGTTCTCACATTTATTCCTAGTGACTCATTCTAGAGCCTGTGATTCTATGACACTGTAAATGATTTTGTAAGGACCCAATTCCTTGAATTAACTTAATTTTTGCTTAAAATACCAATGGTGGTTTCTTTTGCCTACCCGGAATGTTGATGAATAAAATAGATAAAGAAATGTAGACTTAACCCTAGGATAATTGTGATGTCAGGCCCCTGATGCTTATGTGGATAGACAGAAAACCCTTTCAGTCTCAAATGAAAAATGACATCATAACTGATTTTTAAGACAGATGAACCTTTTCTTCTATTTTTTAAAATACTTAATTTTCTTTAAAAAAGCCTCTGTCTCTCTCCCTTGTAGCAGAATACAGATGGTTGTTGATTCAACTTAATGAATTTTCAACTGTATAATAGTGCAAAAGTGATATGCATTCAGTACAAACAGCACTTTGAATTTTGATCTTTTCCTGAGCTAGCAATATGTGGCACATATCATGATGCTGTCTTGGGATGCCGGCAGCAACAGCAACAGCGTCCAGTCAGCCATGTGATCAGGGGGGTAAACAAGCAATACACTTGCAACCATTCTGTCCCATACACCCATCTCCATTGTCACTTTCCATATGGTATTCAATAAAGTGCATGAGTTATCCAACAGTTATAAAATAGGCTTTGTGTTAGATGATTTTTGTGCACCTGTAGGCTAATGTAAGCATCCTGAGCACACGTAAGGTAGGCTGGGCTAAGCTGTGATGTTCAGTAGGTGAGGTGTATGAAATGCATTCTCACTTCAGGATATTGTCAACTTATGGTGGGTTCATCAGGACATATTCCATTGTGAGTCAAGGAAGATCTGTATATAATAACCTCATCTAGCATCTCTTTGTGGAAAACAGAGTTTTCTAGAAATTCTCTCTTAAACAAGAGAAATATTAATTTTATTTCCACAGCAAACTCCAGACAACCAGAGTATACATATTGGCCAAAAAGAATTGATATAAAATTTTAAAGATATTTCTATTTATGTTTATCGAAGTAAGATTTTACTATGGAAAATACAAGTGGAAAGTGGATATGGAAGAGAGACAAGAACAATCATACATAATTCCATCACCCTGGGATAGTACCTTTTAATATTTTGGTATATTCAAGTTTTTTTAGACAAGTATTATGAATAATGAATTCATAATGAGTTCAGTATAGTGATGTGTTATCAAATATTGGAAAGCTCACACACTACTCCATCATATCAACATAGCATAATTAGCCACAATGACTAAAATCTGAGAGCTTTCTGTTTCTCTTATGAGTAATATCTTTATATCAAAGTTATTACTGACGAATGGATAAAGAAGATGTGGTTTATATATACAATGGAGTACTACTTGGCAATGGGAAAGAATGAAATCTGGCCATTTGCAGCAATGTGGATGGAACTGGAAGGTATTATGCTAAGTGAAATAGTCAGAGAAAGACAGATACCATATGTTTTCACTCATATGTGGGTCTTCAGAAACTTAACAGAAGACCACAGGGGAGGGGAAGGGGGAAAAAAAGTTACAGAGAGGGAGGGAGGCAAACCATAAGAGACTCTTGGATACTGAGAGCAAAGTTATAAATAATATTGTTTTACTATTTCCTTGATCAAACTCCTGGAAGTGAAAGAGCAGGTCATAAGGTACAAAATTTTTTTAAATGTTTTATTTATTTTTGAGACAGAGAGAGACAGAGCATGAGCAGGGGAGGGGCAGAGAGAGAGAGAGGGAGGCACAGAATCCAAAGCAGGCTCCAGGCTCTGAGCTGTTAGCACAGAGCCTGACACGGGGCTTGAACTCACAGACTGTGAGATCATGACCTGAGCTGAAGTCAGATGCTTAACTTACTGAGCCACCCAGGTGCCCTGGTACAAATATTTTTTATGCTCTAAATATATATTATCAACTTATTTCCTGGAAGTCTATACCAATTTGTATTCCAATTACCAGTAGCATTTCAGAATATCTCCTTCACCTGCTTTTATATAGCATCAATTATTGTCATTAAAACAACACAATTATAATATCTAACAGTATTTTACAATATAAATTTGGGATGACGTTATTTCTAAAGTTTTTACATTGTGATTCTGTACTATGTAAAGGACTATTTCCATTCTCAGAATTTTATTAGTTGTAATTAGCTATCTATATCCCACAGGATATATAGTGGGATTCTTAGATATGACATAAAGTCTCTAAATTTTTGTATACAAAAGAAATACTTTACCTAATTAAAATATATTAAAGTTTGAATATAGGTTTTAAAATGACAAATAAAGCAAATATACCTTCTGAAAAAAAAGTAAAGCAATTACAATGACTTTGTAATTTATGAAGTCTTTATTTACAATACTTATGCTGTCCTTTACCAAGTCATTACCCCTGCCTAAACAATATTCTGGTTATTTTCTGAGTCTTATAAGGGGCAAATATAGTTGAGAACATGAGACTAGGAGAAACAGATAAGTTATAACCATATATATTCATCTATATACCTGCACCTAAAATTTCTGGACTCAGAAATATCTCCAGAAATATCCTATCCATTTGAGTCCATTTGGTTTAAGAAGATCACCTTCAAAAGTGTAAATGGTCCTGTGGAAGAGTGAACCTTACTCGCCAATTGAGTGCATGTCTTTTAAGAGATATAATGATATTTGGTTTAACCCTCCAGGAATGGGAGTTTGATTGCTAGGATAGCCTATTAATACAGGGCAGAGAACAGACTGAATAGATAGTAAACAGTATGGTGTATTTGGGTGCCTGGAGGGCAGAGGTGGTGATATTACAGGTAAGAAATTGGCTCAGAAAAAAAGGGTATTACCAACAAACACAAAGGTTGATTAAAAAAATTTTTTTTTAATGTTTATTCACTCTTGAGAGAGACAGAGACAGAATGTGAGTGTGTCAGGGGCAGAGAGAGAGAGGGAGACACAGAATCAGAAGCAGGCCCCAGGCTCCAAGCTGTCAGCACAGAGCCTGACGCGGGGCTGGAACTCACCAGCTGTGAGATCATGACCTGAGCCGAAGTTGGACACTCAACCGACTGAGCCACCCAGGTGCCCCAAAGGTTGATTTTTTAAACCTCTGCTTTCCTACTAGAAATTGCAGTAGTAGATTGCTGTGGTCAGGGCACATAACCTACTTCAAGGCCAGGATGGTCTGGTCTGGTTTCCCTGGTTGTCATGTTATTTCCACCTCTTCTATCTAAGAAAAAGGGATGGAGAGAAGGGAGGATGGTCAAAGGGAAATGCACACAGGTGCAATCTTCTTCTTGTATAATTGTCTTCCTTTCAAAGCAAGATCTGTTGTAGAAGACATCAAAAAGTCACACCCTCCTTTTTAAAAAACTTGATCAAGGATGAACTGGACTTTGAGTCTTTGGAGAGCCCTGTTTTTAGGTGCTTCTTTATCTCTCTGGGGTGACTTTCTAATCATTGTAATATTTTTTTTTGCCAACTCTCAAATTTCATTCCTAGTTCTAAAAATACCCTCATTTGAAACGTGGATATAAAAAAAACTAGTAACCTGTAACCCCACTGCAAAAATATAACCTCTGTTAAGCTTGTGACTTCTCAGAACACCCATTTCCACCAGACTACCTTTCCTCAAATTATTGCTCTAAAATTTCCAGCACACGTGATTTATAGTTTTGTGTTTGCATTTTGGATATTTTATTAAAGAACCCAGAAAATAAACTGGATACTTTAGTACAAAGTTGGCACACAGTAGGAATACATAAATATTGACTCTGTTTCACCAGCCATTACAATAACAGAAAGGAGTGTTCTTGAGTTAAAGAAATGAAATATTAAGGAAATACCATAAAATATATATTAATTTAATTCTTCATCTCCTATGACAGTCCTTCAATATTTATCATGATGTCCACAATGTGGTATAGTAGAAAGAGGATGAGTATTAGAATCAAACTTACCTGGTTTGGGGAAGTTATTCACATTCTGAGTCATACTTTTCACAACCCTGCCTCAAAGAACTGATGTGAAGAACAATGAGGAACCTTGTAAATACTCAATACATGTTTGTATTCTCATACCTTCACCCTGTGCCATAGTACCCAAGAGTAGGGGTACTTGAATCCAGAGCGTATGTCATATACTTTAGTTCACTCTGGCTAATACTCTGGTTTTCGAGATGAGAAGGGAGAATGGTGTCTTGCCTTCCCTTAGCACTGAGATCCAGAGAGAGCCTGAGACAGAACATCTAATTCTAAAGCCAAATAAATGAGTGAGAATCTCCTTTTTGTTGTGCCCCTAACCCGGAGTTACCTGATAACCTTCCCTTAAAAATCAGTCTGAGAGTGGTGAAATTACCAAAATGATGGAGGGCAGGGTTGCTCAGGATACCAGGACCAGGCATCACCGTCATGGTGAGAGGAATGTTTTTCAATTGCCAAATAGTTTACACAAGGCCTCCTTCATATCTCTGTTCCTCAAGCTATAGATGAATGGATTTAGCATGGGGATAATCACCATAGAGAATGGCATCCCTGCTTTGACTTTCTGCAGAATGAGTTGATGGAGGAAATAAATAAACACCCATAAGAGATCCATAGAACAGCAGAACCACTGTGAGGTGAGAACCACAGGTAGAGAAGGCTTTCTAGCACCCTCCAGGAGATGAGATGCCAAACATAGCCCAGGAAATGTGGACATAGGAGAGGACAATCAGCATGAGGGGAACCGTGAGGAACATCAGGCCCATGGTGATGATCATCAGCTCATTAATGCGGGTATCTGAGCAGGCAAGCTTCAGTAGAGCACTAGGATCACAGTAGAAGTGAGGGATGGCTTTGTGGGCACAGAAGGCCACACGGGTCAGAGGCAGTCTGTTCACCAGGGCAGGGCAGTTGGTTAGCACCCAGCACATGGGCAGTTGGTTAGCACCCAGCATTAGTGCACAAAGTTGGGGACTCATAGCTGTGCTGTAATGGAGTAGCTGACAGTAGACCACATAGTGGTCATATGCCATCACAGCCAGAAGGCAGTTGTCAAGGCCACCAAACACAAGGAGGAGATACAGCTGTGCAAGGCAACCAGAATGGGAGATGGTCCAACTCTGGGTATGAATGTTGGCCAGCATTTTGGGTATTGAAGCAGAGGTGAAACAGACATCAGTTAATGATAAGTTTGCCAGGAAGAAGTAAATGGGAGTATGAAGGTGTGGGTCAGAGCTGATGACCAGGATGATGAGCAGGTTCCCTGTCATGGTGAACAGGTACACGCCCAGAAAAACGCCAAATAGGAGAGGTTGCTCCCCTGGCTGCTCAGAGAGTCCTAGAAGGAAGAAGTCTGAAATAGCAGTTTGGTTCACTCTGCTTGGTTTTCCCATCCCTGTAGTTCTTGTTATCTGTTCAGATATTCCCTCTGTTAGTATTTAATTATTAGATCAACCACAGATGTATCTGTGTAGCCAGAATTATATTGGGGAAAAAAGGAGAATAAATGGACCTTGACAATGAGAATCTTGGATCTCATTGGACATGTAAGAAAATACCCACAGGACATAGAAACAGGCAAGATAATATCCATACAAATGCAGATTGTGCTTTTGGTTTAAATGGGGTCCAGGGAAGATATCAGTTTGACTAGAGAAGTCAGTGTAAGCTATTGGAGGAGCTAAGAATTGAGCATATCCTTGAAGGCATGATTGGAAAAGTCATTAATGTTTAGTGATTGATAATTTCCTTTGATGCCTCTCCCCCAAAACACACACACACACACCACACACACACACACACACACACACACACACACACACACACTCACTCACCAATTAGACAAAATAGCCTCCTCTCTACTAGCCTCCCCAATCCCTAGAACTTGACCGCACCATTTAGCTCCCCTCCCTATGCCCTTCCCTAACTGGGGCCACAGGGTATGTGGGCTAAGGGCAGTGAGTATCTGTGATGTCCCATCTACCGCATCTCCTCCTCTCCACAAACAGGAAGGGGGCCACACCCACCCCATGATCACTGTCTCTTCTTTGTCACTGTCCTCTTCCTCTTCTGCTTCTTTGTACCTGTATTCACTCTAGGAACTGATATTTCAGTTCTCCTGGCCTCTCATAATGATCAGCTCCTATTTGTAGAGACTGGTTAAATACCAGACATCTTCATGGCATTCTTTTATTCTTCATAAGGCCATGACATAGGTGCTACTATCCTTGTAAATGATGACACTGAGCTTCAGAGATATTTGATGTATTCAAGATCAGATAGCTAGTAAATGACATTCAAATGCAGGTGTGCCTGACTCCAGAGCCTGTGCCTTTACCCCTACAATTGTACCATATTTCTCCAATATTTACTTTTCATCAGAGGAAGGAAGATGGAAGGAATCAGGCTCTGGTTCTCTGGGCTTGAAAGTAGCCACTCTGTTCTGCTCCCCTGGGATTTAGAGAGAGCTGGTGTGAGAGCTCATTCCATATTGGCCTTGTAAAAACTACGGCCTTAGATGTTTCTGTGAATAGTTAATCCTCTATTTGTTCTTTGGTTCGTAGAGTGACTTCTGATCTTAGGTGGAGAGTCAGCTCATCTACCCAGGAAACTTCTGCCTAGTTGTTGTGTTGGGAAGTTGTGTGTGTGTGTGTGTGTGTCCTGCCCCTTGTAGATTCTCACCTGTGAGAGCATGGATCAGTGTCCGGCATCTTCAGATTTTCCATTTCTTTCTCCTGGATGGATAATTCACAATGAGGAAGTTTCTGGGATTTTTAAGACTCAGTCAGCAGAGTTTGTGTCTATTGAGTCCAGAGTTCATTAGGAACATGGAGTGTATGATTCCTTTGCAGTTTCCCTAAGCCTGAGAAGACAAGAGACTTTCTTAGGGTTTTAAAGGCTTCTTGAAAACATCTCCCAAAGTGCTCATTAGAGCCAACCTCAGTGTCATTGTGCAGCCTTTCCTGCAGCCAACCCTGGCTGGATGCTGGGAGAACTGAGGGCAAATATTTCCCAGAGTTAAGCTCAGATGTCGGTCTCAGGAGTGTGATTCTGAGGCCTCTTGCTGGGATACAGTGCACTTCAGCCTGACCAGCAGGTCCCTAGGAAATTGTACGTATGCACTGGACAGTTGAATTTCTGTCCCATACTCTAAGCAAAATTGCATCGAGGAAAGTGTCAGATATATAAATTATAATGATTTCTGTTGGTGATTTTCCTAAACAAAGTAATCCTAATGTAGAGCAACCTCCTCAAGTCCTAAACTCTCAACTAAATGAGGCAGCCTATATAGAGCACACCAACCATAATGTCTGATACCTAGAAGCTGCTAAAAATGTTTTATGTCCTGTATTTTTATTAATACTATTGAATTGATACTATTATTAATATTATTGAACACTTTCATTACACAATCTCAAGTAATACAGGAAGCTTAGATACAGGAACTATTATTATTCCCATTTTACAGATGATGAAACAGAGGTCCAGGGAAGATAACGACTTGACCAAGGTCATACAACTACTAAATGAAGGTGGTAGAATTCCAACCTAAGTCTGCATGACCCTAGAATCCATGTTCTTAACCACACTTTGTCCTAGTATCATTACTGGTTTTAATCGTCAACAATTCCACAGATAGAAACTAATCTCATTTTTCTAACTCACATGTCTCTGGTTACTAGTGAGATTGACGATTTGTTTCATCTGCTTTTTAACGATGGTTAATTATTCCCCAAATTATCCTATTAATATGTTTCTCCTTTATCTACTGGGATATTTGTGGGGTTTTAAAATGGATGTTAGAGGCAATAAAACAAATGAAAATATTTTATGGGTGTTGTTTTCTGTCCTTGCCATTCCAAGACGTCTACAACTTTTTAAAAATGTTTTTTATAGGGGCGCCTGGGTGGCGCAGTCGGTTAAGCGTCCGACTTCAGCCAGGTCACGATCTCGCGGTCCGTGAGTTCGAGCCCCGCGTCAGGCTCTGGGCTGATGGCTCAGAGCCTGGAGCCTGTTTCCCATTCTGTGTCTCCCTCTCTCTCTGCCCCTCCCCCGTTCATGCTCTGTCTCTCTCTATCCCAAAAATAAATAAACGTTGAAAAAAAATTTTTTTTAAATAAATAAATAAATAAAAATAAATAAATAAATAAAAATGTTTTTTATAGTCAAAATTGACAGATATGTGGCTTTGTGATTTTTTCCATTACTTTTATACTGAAAAGTCTTTCCATCTTACATAACAGGAAAATGTCATTTAGTTATTTCTTCTAAATTTTAAACAGTACATTTAAAATTTTTTCTCCTTTTTTCTTGCAATATTTTATTTAACTTCAAGTTACTTAACATACAGTGTAGCATTCCTTTCAGGAGTAGAATTTAGTGATTCATCCCTTAAATATAATACCCAGTGTTAATCATAACAAGTGCCCTCCTTAATGCCCATCAACCCAAATTTTAATTTACTTGCAATTTATGTTGTGGTATAGTGAAAGAAAAAGATCTACTTTTACTTTTAATTAATCACAATAGCTAGTTTTATCAGGACTATTTTTTAATAACTCATGCATTTTCCAGTGCACAGGTCTGTGCACCTGTGCCTGGCCTTTCCAAATCATGTGGGCTGCTCACAGCACTGGCAGCAGCGTTCTGAAAGTGGGCCTCTTGACAGCAAACATTTTAAGAGATCAAGGTGAAAACTGCATGATTTTCATAAAACCTAGCTTTGGAAATCCTAGAATCTCATTTTCACTACCTTCTATAGATCAAAGAAGTCACGAGGGCCAAGCCAGTGACTAAGGTAAAGAAATTAAGCTCCATCTGTCCATAAAAAGAATAGCAAATAACTTTTGGCTTTCTGTAATTTACCAACACCTGAAATTATTTAAATTCTTCTCACATTCAAAATCGATTCACTCCTTCCCTCAAAGCTCAGAATTTCATTGCATTGGAACATCAGGTCAGTGTCCAAGATCTTGTGTCGAAACGAGGTCCTGGTGAAAATGTGTTTCCTTAGATTCACTTCCCTGTTCATTGTCCTTCTCAATCTGGAGACCTGGGATGTGAGAGACAAGTTATCTCTCTCCTCCCTCCTCACGCATACCCACCATGATGCTGATATGGGCATGGGATAACTACAATAGACACTCCAAATCCTCAGGGGCAAGGATAGGACAGAGAGAGGAGCAGGAGGCAGAGAGTGATGTTGTTGCTTATACTCTACTGATGGATATACCACACTTCATCTGTTCTACTGTTGATAGCCATTTAGATGATGATAAAAATATTCTTATACAGCCTCTTAGAGAACATACATACACATTTTGGTTGAATATATATTTAGTAGTAGAATTTGGGGGTTCTAGGTTTTGCATGGTTTCAACTTTAGTTTTTCAGAATGATTTTCATGTATACATGACAAATATCTCCTCTGGGTGTTGACTTTTCACTTTCTTATTGGTGTCTTTTGAGAAATAGAAGTTATTCTATTTTAATATAGTCCAATTTATATTTTTCTTTATGATTATGTTGTTTGTGTCCTAAGAGATATTTGCATACTTCTTCATTATGAAGATATTCTCCCGTGTTTCCATCTAAAGTCTCCATTATTTTTTATTTCTATATGAATCTCTTTGGACTTGATTTTTATATACAGCATGAGGTCAGAGTCAAATTATATTTTCTCCCATTTGGGTATCCGATTATCTCAGATGATTTATTGAAAAGGTCATCATCTTGGAAAGTTAATTCAGCTATGTTGAAGAGTCACATTCATAATTCAGGTGAACATTTATCTATGAATCTGTTTATAGACTCTTCTGTTTCATCAGTTTTTCTGTCCTTGGTAAATACCACAGTTTTAATTATTATAGTTTTATAATATCTTGATATATGGTTGTATAAGTCTTCTAAATTTGTTTCCTTGGCTATCCTTGGTACTTGTATTTTTATGTGAACTTTAGAATTAGCTTTTCACACACAGACACATACACAACCTGCTAGAACTATGAATGTGATTTCATTGATAGGCTAATTTGGGAAGAGCGTATACCATAGTAATGCTGAATTTTTCAATCTATGAATATAGTATATCTCTTCATTTTTGCCTACTTTATTTCAATAATGTTTTAATAATATTTTGTAAATTTTAGTAAAGAGGTCTTGCACATTACCTTAAATGTATTCCTGGGTATCTGTGCTTTTATAGTCTAAAGTAAATAACATGTTTAGAATGTTTGTTTCTGTTTGTTCATGGCTAGGGTGCAGAAATGCAGTTGGTTTTGTATGTTAACTTTTGTATTGAGTGACCTTGCTATATCGTTTTATTAGTCATTTTATTAGTCATAAATTTGGAGTGAATTTTTAGGTGTATAATCAGATTGTCTGATAATTATCTGATAATAATACCAGTATTTCCAATTCCTATTTTTCAATATTTTACTTAAATTCTAGTTAGTTAACATATTGTGTAACATTGGCTTCAGGAGCACAATTTATCACTATATATAACACCCAGTGGTCACCACAAGTGCCTTCCTTAGTACCCATCACCCATTTAGCCCATCCCCCTGCCCACCTACCCTCCATCAACCCTCAGTTTATTCTGTATAGTTAAGAGTATCTTATGGTTTGCCTCCCTATCTCTTGTTTTCTCCCTTTGCCCTATGTTTATCTGTTTTGGTTATTAAATTCCATGTATGAGTGAGATCACGTAGTATTTGTCTTTCTCTGGCTGACTTGTTTCACTTAGCATAATACATTCTAGCTCCATCCATATCATTGTAAATGGCAAGATTTCATTACTTAATAGCTGAGTAATACACACACATGCACACACACACACAAACATACATACATACATACATACATACATACATACATACATACTACATCTTCTCCATCCATTCATCAATCAATGGGCATTTGGGCTGTTTCCACAATTTGGCTATTGTTGATAATGCTGCTATAAACATTATCCCTTCAAATCAGTACTTTGTATCCTTTGGATAAATACCTAGTAGTGCAATTGCTGAATCATAGGGTAGTTCTGTTTTTAACTCTCTGAGGAACCTCCTTACTATCTTCCACAGTGCCTGCACCAGTTTGCATTCCCACCAACAATGTAAGAGGATTCCCCTTTCTCTGCATCCTTGGCATCATATCTTGTTTCCTGCG